GTCTTTGTTATTTTTTTTTTCTTTGGAACGCTGTGTTTCCTGTTTGTACGATGTACTATTTTTTTTAAATTATGGTTAGATGACCTATTTTTTATATTCATATTTAATATAATGTATGGATAAAATAAGTATAGAGAATGAATTTTTATATTTTTTTAAAAGATAAAAAGTTAAATTGAATACAACACTTTTTGTTTCTTCAATAATGTTGGAAGATTTTTTAAAGAAAATACTGAGCGAATTTTTCTTCGGTTGTATTTTAATCTAAATGTTATTTAAGTATTGGCCATTTTTTTTTAAATGTTCTGTTTACACAAGAAAAACCGTGGGCAAGGTAAGGTGCGTTTTAAATAAATATATTTATCATTGAATTTTTTCTTTTTATAAAAAAAATAGGAAATAAAATGTTTTTTAGATATAGAAGTAAAAGAGTAACATTTATTGCAGACATTTTAAGAAAAAGCTTTTTGTTGTCATCGCCCAAACCTTTTTTCTATTGTAAAACGATAAAGTTCTTGAAAAAGGATTAGATTAAACAGTAAATTCATTTTAATTATAAATCCTTTAAAAAAAAGTGTGTCTTGTTTAATATAAAATCAATTAAATGGCATTTTCTTTTTCCAAAATATATATGAAATTATACTCATTCGATAAATCCAAAAATTAGTAACACAATTACTTTATGCTACCTGTTTGGAGTTTATTAAAGAGGAGAAAGGAGGAGATTTATTCAAAAGATAAAAATACGTGAAATATTAATTAAATTATATAAGGAATTCACATCTCACTTTACCAAAATTATAAGAAAATGGATTAATAAGAATACTTTACTTTTTTATTTTTATCAAACGTAAGATTAGGATTCATACTTAAATTTTAACGATCTTTCCTTTAAGGATGTATTCTTTTCACATTGATACACTTTTCACATCAATTTGTATAATATTTATTTATTACTTTATCTTTATTTTTTGTTCCAGTTAATTAATTTCATGAGTGTATTTAAAAGATACTTATAAATTTTATATAACTCATAAATATTTATGAATATCAACAAATGTTTTAAAAAATATTTATATTTTTAGAATAAAATTAAAAAAAATATAAATATAAAGTAAACTAAATTAAATTTTAAATTTAATTTAATAAAATATACATTTTAATTAAATATATTTTAAGAAATTATAAATTAAATTTTAATGTGAACTCTTTGCCAATAATAAATATCCTATACTTATATCCAATCTCTTTATAAATAAATATTAAAATAATAATTATTCATTATATATATATATATATAAATAAATATATTATCTATAAATACTATCTATCCATTTAGATAATGGTTTTGAAAAAGAAAAAAGTTTATACGACCACCTGACATTTAACGTGTTATGTATTTTTATATATATATATATATATATATATATATATATATTATATATATCACCTATCCATCCATTTGGATGGGCTTTAAAAGGAAAAAAAAGTTATAGGTGACCACCTGAACATTTAACCAGAATAGAGGGACCAGACAAAAGTTTCCACTGTGTTGTAATTTGTTAAAAAATCAATAACAAAAGAGGAAAATAATATATATAGAGAAAAGTAGTAAAGTAAAAAGTATAATTTTTGGGATTAAAATATATTTTAATTAGTGTATAAATATTTTTATATTATGCATTTATTTATTTATTTTTCTATGATACAATTTGTAAATCTAGTCTATTATTTTCCAGCTCTGTTTGTTTGTAAAAACATAATATAATTTACTGGTCTAATGTAATAAAATAGGTTTAAAATCTTAATTTGTTTTTTAAGTATATATATATATATATATATATATATATTCTGAAAACACATAATTATATTAATATTTTCTGATTTTAAATATGTTAATTGATATTTTTAATCAGATAAATTAAATAATTATTAATTTTATATATTAAATTATTTTTATACTTAATATTTAAAATTTGATTTATGAGTGTTAATAATCTAATAAAAATATTTTTATTTACTTATATCATTTAAATAATATAAATAAAAAAATTAATTTTAAATTTTCAAAGTAAAAAGAAAATTAGAGAGTCAACTCTCTTACTCTTTCTTCTCAAAATTTAATTTTAAATTTTGAAAGTAAAAAGCGAATTTGAAAATTAACCCACCCTATTCAACTATTGGAAGTTGCGCTCCCTCCACCACCACCGAATGCTCCCTGCACCACTCATACCAATTTTGCCCTTTTCTAAAATGATGTCAACATCCGTTTTACCTCAACGGATGTTTACATCCTGTCCGTTCAACACATATTGTCATATTTTAAATAAATTTTGTTTTTATTTAAAAAAAAATCTTCAAATGGATGTGGCGACATCGGTTAACAGAATTGCCACGTCCCTTTTATAAAATTTTTAAAGTTATTTTGATTATTATTTAAATAATAATATATAAATTAAATTAATAATAATTATTTTATTAAATAAAATTAAATTAATTCATAAATAATTAAGTAATAGTTTTAAATTAATTAAATAATATTTATATATTAATTTAAAATATAATAAATTAAAAATTAAAAAAGAAAAAACTTCATGGATGTTGTCACATCCATTTTAATAAATTTTTAAAAACTATTTTATTATTTAAATAATAATACATAAATTAAATTAATAATAATTATTTTATTAAATAAAATAAAATTAATTTATAATTAATTAAATAATATTTATATATTAATTTAAAATATAATAAAATAAAAAACTAAAAACTTTAAAAAGAAAAATACTTCACGGATGTTACCACATCCGTTTTAATAAATTTTTAAAAACTATTTTAATTATTATTTAAAATAATAATACATAAATTAAATTAATAATAATTATTTTATTAAAAAAAATAAAATTAATTTATAAATAATTAAGTAATAATTTTAAAAAAAATTAAATAATATTTATATATTAATTTAAAAACTTAAAAAACCAAAAACTTAAAAAAAAAAAAAACTAAACGGATGTGAGACATTCGCTAACGGATGTGGCACATCCATTGAAGAATTTTTCTTCAACAGATGTCGATATCCGTTCAAGATAAAAGGAGGAGGTGTAGGATATTTTAAAATATAAAGGATAGTTTTGAAATTTAGAAAAAGTGTTGTGGTGCAGGGAGCAATGTGTGGTGGTGTAGGAAGAAACCCTCTCAACTCTTTCTTTAATTCATTCAAATTGGATCTTGAATAAGGGTTTTACTTTTTGCACTTCCACAATTTCTTTCCCTATCTACATATTTTAAAATGATTATTTTATCTTTTGTCAAAGACTTTTCATTCCCACTCCATGTATTCTTTTTATATTTTAGATTATATAGTTTAAAATATATTTTTATTTTATTCGTATAATGTAAAATATAAATTTTATATTATAAAATGTGTAATATAAAATAAAAATTATATATTTTTAAAGATGTATAATTCAAACTACAAAATAAACATTCTAAATTTTACATTCTAAAATATAAATTTTATATCCTGAAATATACATTATAAAATACAAAATAAAAGATCATTCAAGACTCATGAACCACACATTATTACCGTGTGGAATTATTTTAAGATGGCTATGCAAGCCTATTTACATTCTAAAATGCATTTTTTTTAGCTTTTGTATTTCAAATTATATATCCTCAAATATAAATTTTATATAAAGAATTATATGCTTCAAAGTATAAATTAATACTTTAGATTGTATATTTTGGATTGTGTATTTTAAAATAAAAAATATTAATGTTTAACATTTTAAATTATATAATCGAAAACATCTCTAAACCATGTGAAGTTGAAACTAAAAGTTAAATTTTGAAATTTGAAATTTATGAAAATGCATGATAAAATTAAGGGAGTTCTGGAAAAATTTGCCCCGACATAGTGTTTTGTAAGTTTCACACTGAAAGACACTATTCACCACTTTAGAGTAATTTTAAATCAACATAATCTTAAGATAAATAATATTAATATAAATATAATATCAAGATAAAAAAGTTATAGAGTTAAAAATTATATTGCTAAATATAATTTTTTAAAATCGATGAATAAGAATATAAGAACGCGTTAAATAAATGTAAATCCATGTTTACGTAGACGTTTAATTTTTTCTTTTTTTTTTCTAAGTGTATTATTATAATATAATTAGAGTTAAATTCCATAGGTTGCAAACCAAACAAATACGGAGAACCACTAAAAATCACATTTTCTTTATATTAAAAACATCGAGAAATTTTGTTTTATAAAAAGCTAAAGAAGCTATAACATATAGTTAAAGTATCTCAATGCACATTGATGCCATTTAAGATGTTGCAATTTTCTTTTAAATTATTCTTAAATATAAACTATTTCATTTACACATAAAATACATAATTACTAACTTTATTGTAAGTGCTACACTTAACAGTTAATTTTCAACATTTAAAATTATTTTTATAACTTTTTAATTAATAAAATTCAATACTCAAATTACATTTTAAAATTTTCAAATGCACAGCGTGTTTTTCTAGTAATAATAATATAATGAGATTAAAAAACTAGTGATGACAGTTTATAACTGAAGTATGTTTTTGAAAAAAGGATAATAGTTTCTGTAGAAAATTTTAACAATGATATAGTTTTTAAAGGAAAATAACCAATCAGGAACCACATCTATTACAGTGATACAATTGGCCGAAGAAGTATTTTTTTTAATGTATCTTGATTTTTCCTTTTCTTTCAATAGTGCACACAATGCCTATGGATCATTTGCATTTCTTTTTCCTCCATCTATATTTGCTTCTGCAAATTACAAATATCTCTGTTTACTCTCTTTCATTCCAAAATAGGAACGTATATTCTGAAATGCCTATACCAGAATAAAAAATAATACTGGACAAAAGATATTTGTAAGGTGCGAAAAATTGGACCCATTCCTTAAAATTTCATCCAGTAGGAAAAAAAAGCATGGTATTCGGGCATCAGTCATGGATTTTTTGGTCCTCAATATCACTGAATGCAGCAAATATGACAATATAATCTGATACAGTGGACAACTTGATCACAAGTGTAGCACTGCATAGCATCATCCACCAAAGAAATATTCCTCAGAATGCTAAATAATTAGACGTACAGACAAGAGGTATAGGAAACATAAATGTTGAACAGAGGAAGTCACTAAAAGAAAATCATAGACGACTTATCACAGCTTCCACCTCGGTGGGGGTGTAAAGATGATATGTTGGAGCCACCTTGGCAATGTCAACGTTGTTGGGAGTGACCTAAGATGAAAATCACAAAATAAAACAATTAGTTTTTTATTCTCCCTTTTATTTCAGGGAGGGGCGTCAATCAATTGACAAAACATGCATTTGATTTGTTGCTTACCTTCTCTTCCATAACTTGCTTCAAAATGGATAAAGCGATAGTCTCAGCTTCCTGAAGAGTTAGGTCCTGCACAACATAATAATTAACACCAGATTGCATTGCTTTATACTATGTTTCAGCATAATTCTAGAAAAATAATCACTGATTTTTAAAAAGCACTCTCAGGGACCTAAAAGAAACACTTATTTCTCCAAAATAAACATTGAATCAAACACGCACTTAAAGCCTCTAGAATGAAAGATGTCCTTTACAGCAAATATTGGCAGTGCATTGACAGAACTCCAGAACAAAATACGAAAATGGCATTAATTTGACCATCAAAATTATCAAAAAAATTTAACTAGCTTAACTTTTTCCTAGACATGGACAAAATTCATTATAATTAGTAGAATTTAGAAATATAAACACTAAAAACAAGCAACAATGTCAACTGAACAGTTGCCGTACGTATATTAATGCTAAGACAGGAATATGAAAATAGGATTTAAACAAAAATCAGCAGACTAGGTAAATTGTTTTATCTTCTGTAAATTGGAAACTAGGTAAAATCCTGAAGACGAAGTTTAATTTTGTGATTCCAGATAAAAAGAATATATATAGTTTGAATAATATTACCTTTTGTTACGTTATTTTTAAGGGGAGGTAATCAACTATAAGTTTACTGTTACAAAAAGCATAGAAGGTTTATGTACAATAAATATAAAAATATTGATACCTTGTTGAATTGTTCTTGCAGTGAACTGTCTGCACCTTCCGACCCTGAACCAATTGCTTTTCCGTTGCATTGCCAAAATGTGCCAGATGGATCGGTGTAATATCTGAAAATCAGAACGTTTAAATCCAGTAAATGTAAGAAGTCCAAAATGAAAAGGGCTGGGAAGAAGACCAGAAGAGATAACTGCATATCATCCAGTGACTGAAGAAATAAAAGCCTAGGAAGTAGGCCAAAAACAGAATAATGCTCTGCATTTATTTATTGTCTAATCAGTAATCTCCATTAGTGTATCTGCGACATACATGAATAAGAAAATTGTTTATATTGAGCCTTAAACCTTTATATGTAGGTGAACTACATGCTACCCTCAATTGTTTCCTTGTTAAGGTAGAAAAAAGTTGCAAGTTGCAACCAACAACTGATTACCATTGCATAACAAAAACCTCAATATATACTTTCTTGAGAGTAGATTTAACAGGGTAGATAGGTGAACCATAAAATGAAATAATGCCACAAAGGAATGGTAAAACAAGGTACTTTGTTGAACCAAAAATAGCATTATCTTAAAACTACAAAGAGCAATAAGATGCTGCAGTACTGCATGACTATGAAACACCTGCAGAGAATGTCAAAGTTCCGACTTCAATTAGACAAGGAAGATGTAATATACACCAACTTTTAAGAACTTTTTTCTTAAAAATATCTTTTGAAGCATGTTATAAAATGTTTGGGAAATCCATAAGCTTTTTATAAAAATAAATCAAAACAATATCAGATTTTATAATGTTTTTAGAAACTACAATGAATAGCTTCAAAAAACAATCCCCACAAAAAGCACACTTCTACACAATCTCAAAATTACTTTTTAAATCTTAAACAAATAAGCTCTCAACATAAAAAGGCCTTGAGTAACAACAAAAGAGGATCCTAAAGGAACAATCCTATGATCATGAACGACCAAAATATTAATTGTTATTGAAATATCTTTTATCCAGAATTGCTTTTTATAATTTTACAAATTACTAGATAAAAGCAAAAGATAATAGGAACAATAACATCAATTTAAAAAGATCACCAGCATCATAAATTCAGACAAACACTTTTAAAGTAATCATTGGATAAACATAGAAAACAAACCAAAAGGGCAACTCCATCAGAAGTAGCCATTTCTTAATAGATGAAACAAATACTTACAAGCTAGGTCCATTCTCATCATGACCAGCAATGAGAAGAGATACTCCAAATGGTCGAGACTGCCAAAAAGAAGAAAAAAACGGCGTATGTTAAAATACATGCATGATGATCTACTGTCACTGCTATTAAGTGTTTTGTACAAAAAGAAAAAGGCTTATTGGCACATGCTTCTTAAGCACCTTATATGAGGAACTGTATATTTATAAATTATAATGTTGAACGTTCAACGATGGATGCAACCAGGATATCAGTGCATTAAGAAATGTTTAGGTAAATAAACATTTGTTTATATCTCCAATCAACAGTTGTCAAATGCAATATACAAATTATCGATATTCCTAGCAGATACTTCAGAAACAACTTCACAAGTTCATAAACTATTTTTTCCTAAACAGAAGCATCAGAAACAAGCAAGCAAACAAATAAAAGCACAAATATCAAAGTTGAGAAATTCTCACCATGGATTCTTCATCACCTTCACCAAAACGCAAGGCGAGATCACAAAGAGCTTGGGTTGTAGACTCAACAGTCATTGGCTCACCATAGGAGAACCTATGGTTCTGCAAACAAGAAACCAAAATATATCAATCATTAACTAATCAACTACTTAATATATGCTATAAGGTTCACAATACCTGAGTTTCCACTCGTGCATGCTCAACAAGTGTTCGAGCATCAGCAATCAATCCACTCATTGCACAACCTATGTGCTCATCAATTTCCATAATTTTCTCAACACTACTTGGCTCCTGAAAGAAAGTAGTAGGCTTTTAACAATGAAGGTGCAAAGCACAAGTAACCACAGCAAGATAAATCATGTTTCTTTATATCCAATAAAATCCATATAAACTATAAATTCAGTTATAGTATAGGCAAACATTTATGTGTTCACGATACACAGAACCTAACAATAAATGACCCAAGCCCACCCCATCAGCAAAAAAAAGGGTCTCTTTTCACCCTAAAACAAAAATGAAGAATACTATGATAGCAGAATATAAAGGAAACAGCATTACTTTTCGTGGTACATGACTGTATGCACAACCCACATTTTTGTCTATAAAATGAACATCAACAACAGCTTGCTACCAAAATTCAATTTATGTGAAGCATATCTATGGCAAAAACCAACATTTGTACAAGTATATTTCCTACTTAATTCCATCAACCTGTATACTTATAGTCAATGGTCACTGGCACATTTATGGGTAAATGGTAAATGTCACAGTAAGATGATAAATATACCGAAATAATTAAAAGTAAAGAAACAGACCAGCAGTGGTGAAGTTATGCGCTTTTCAACAGCAAGGACAACACCCTCTTTAGTCTTCAACCCAATTGCAGTTGATCCCAGCTGCAATCCATGAATTGACAAACATAAAAATCAGGAAAGAAATAGTAAGCCTTTTTCTTTTCTTTACTGATGGATAACAATAATCACAGAAGAGAAAGAACAGAATGAAGCAACATACCTTGATGGCTTCAATTGCATATTCAACCTGAAACAAACGGCCTTCAGGAGAGAAGGTGTTGACTCCTCGGTCATACTCAGTTCTATTTCAATCACAACGTAGACAATTAAACAATTAGGAAAAAAATAATGGATTCAGGAAACCCATTGGTTTATTGAATCAAGCAAAACGGAAAAGGCCTGAACTGCATGTTAGAAGCAAAGGATGGGGAATTCACCTTGTGAGAAACATCTCTGATAAAATTTGGTGAAATTACTGCACAAAATGGTGGAAGCAGAAGAGATTAGAACAAAGAAGGGCATGAGTAAAGAAGGGGATAGGTTCGGGGGGTATTGGAATTACTAAAGAGGCATGGTTTGTTCCTCAAGGGGTTTTGTAGGAATAGGAACAAGCCGGGGTGGGGACACATTTTTCCCTCCCCAACCCCCTACCACATTCCCAGATAGGGCTGAAAACATCCCCACCCATGATTACTGTTTACCACTTTTAGCACATTTGTTAATCTACCAGTATATTTCTCAAGCCCTACAGTTTATAATTTAAAAATCTAATATTAATTTAGAAAGTCAAATCTAACAATATAAAACATACACGAGCACAGTAGAACTTACTATAATAAGCTGCTAATGTAGCCTCATTATAAGTAATTGAAATGTAGTCTAGTTAAAATAATAATCAGATATCAATCTAACATCATAAATCTAATACAAGCATTGTAGAAATTTCAATAATAATGTACGGCATTCACCTAGTCCTTATATTGGGTATTTTCAGACTGCTAAAGTTTCCTATAACTCCTACACTGTCCTTCAAAAACCTGGAGCCACTGATTATCTCCAATAAAGGAAATAGAACAGAGGTTCATATTTCTTGTGTACTGAGATTATCACCGTGCCTACCAAAGTAATCAACACAGTTACTGGACTTGTACACCAGGAACACAAAACTCCAGTGGACAATTAAGCTTAAGGAGATTTTAATATGCTCTAAGATTAAGAAAACATCTAACCAGATTACCATAAAGAAAATCCTAAATTTATAATTTTTACTTAATTTAAACATACGTTCATAAGTGATGCAAGCTTTGGCAGGCAACACATCTTAATAGATGACAACGCACCACTCAAAAAGAAATGACCAACAAATGTAATAAATTGAAAAGTTCAACAACAACAGTGGTTTTATAGAAGTTGCAAAACAGTAACAGGTACACTGTTGCAAACGCGATCACAATGCCTAAGCAAAGACAAGCAATGAATTAGTACGAGATATTCACCAAGAACTCCCCCTGTAAAGGAGTAATCAATTCCTTATTCGGCAATCCAAAAACCAGTCCCATATACACACATCTCTCTCATGTTTATCAACACTTGATACTGAACCACTCTGATATTTCTCTCCAATTTTTTTTAGCCACTTGATACTGAACTCTAAAGGCACAAGACTAACCACCCGACCGCACCCTCTCTAATTCATAATATCCCTCAAACTGAACATTTTCCTTTCGTTTTAAAACATACAGAAAACCGACCTCTCATTCTCACTTGCCAGCTGTCTCTCTCTCTCACCCTTTGATACCTTTTCTATAAACATTTAAACACAAATTCCCTCAGATTCCCTTTCTTTACTTCGTTTCTTTAAATTTCTATGCCTCCATTAATCAACCCATTTAGTGTGATATTCACCGAATAACGACGATGGCTGGTGCAGAAGCTCTCATATACACAGCCATACCCAGCTCAAAGCAACCACTGACTCACGAGCAATCATGAGTCAGCACACTATTGAGTAAACATCATCAGATCATCCATCCAAAGAATGGACAAGAATAGATTAGAATTGGACAACATGCAGTGAATCAAAGAGGGGTAAGTGAGGAAAGGGGAAACGAAATTGAAATTGAAATTGCAATGCAAAATAAAATCAAAAACACTTAAGGGAAGAAACCCTACCTCCCGTTGGATCTGCGAATGCCAAATGAGTGTCCCGCACTGCAGCAGAGGGTTCGGCTTTTGAACTTAATTTGCTTGCTCAAGGGGCATTCTCAAAAGAGTCAAAAGTAAAATGGAAAAATAATATCGATACTATAAATATATTTAACAGAAAATTACTATAAAAAAAATTAAATAGGTATATAGTGTGGCATATGGGATGAGAAGGTTGTTTTTCTTTTTTACCATAGAAAAGTTTATGTTGATGTAAAAAAGGGTATTTGTTGTAATATATTATATTATATCTTATTTAATTAGTTTTTAAATTAATTTAATTAATATAAAAACATTGAATAATTTTTTTAAATAGTTTATTTTAAAATTTTAAACTTATTACAAATTAATTTATAGTTTACAATTTGTTTATATTTCAATACATTCTTTATATTTTAAATTTCATTACAAATTAGAGTAATAAATATTTTATTAATTTGAAATAATAAAAATTACTTATCCGTTTATATTAATTGAAATATTGTTTTATATTAATCACAAAATTTAATATTTTTTAAAATGTAAGTAAAATAATGGGATAAGACAAGAAAAAGTAATTTCCACCTCACTATTTATTTATTAAAAAAATAGTAAAAATTTAATTAAAAATATAAAATATATATATGTAATTGAATAAATTAAACAAATTTAATAAGAAAACTAAAGTATCTAAATTTATATAAAGGGCACAAATATTAAAACAATTTTTTTTATAAATTCTTATTAAATTCCTAAAAAATGATTAATTATTTTTCATAAGTAAAAAAAATTGATTGAGTAAGAAATGGAAAATACAAAAATCATATTATTTTTTTCTAGATTGTGTTGGCACATCAGATCATAGATTTAATTCTTACAAGCCATGAAATTGGTCTTCCATTTAAACCTTTCCTGAGATCTTTTCATTGATATTTGCATTCATTTGTCCATTTGTTCCATATCAAAAGGCCCATTTTTCTCCACTTAGAAAAAAAATCCAATCATTCATTATCCACACTCGGACCTTCTCCTACTTGCCTTCATGTAAGCTCCATCAATTTTTCTTCATTTCAAATTTGTGTTCCATTCTTTCTCACAGATGTTTGTACATGGTCTGTTGCATTGACACATGACATAGTTATGCCAATTCACTCTTGAAGCGCCACTGAAACTTAAATGTTGGCTCATGCACAGGTTAAATTCTATATGCACTCTAAGCCACACCCTTATAGAACCACGAGCTTGCATGAATGATTCTGAATGGAAAGCCAATGATTCCAGTAGTGTGGCTCTGGAGAAGTTCAAAAGAGACAGCGTTTACATTGACAGAAATGGGAAACTAAGGAACTTCAATCACAAAAAAGTGTCCAGGAAAAAATGTAACAAACTCTTGAAACATGAGTATGTTCGCTTGTTCATTGAAACATGTGTGTTTGTGTCATGTTTGAAAAGTGTGTAGTTTTCTATGACCAGGTGGTTCTTTGAGAGGACGAGGATGGAAATACGGTTCTGGGTTTGTTGATGGGATTTTCCCTGTGTTGAGTCCAACTGCACAGGAGATTCTGGATTTCCTTGAAAAGGGTGTGGAGAGTGAGGGTATTTGGAGTTCACTGGAAAAGTTTCCAGCCACTCTTGACTTATGGGATGATATTTTCACTGTGGCTGTTCAACTTCGGATGAGGAAAAAATGGGATTCAATCATTTGGGTCAGAAACTCACATTGCTGCCTTCAAACTTCTCATTTATTTTTCATTTTTGCATGGCTATTGTCTTTTATTGGATTATTAAACATGATTATGCCTCTGAAAAGATGTTACAATATATCGATTTTTAGTGTAGGCCTTTCTTAACCCATTTTATCTTCAGCTGATTGTAATGTTTTGTAACTCCACACTCAAATCTTAGTTTTCTGTTTTACTCTATAGATTAACTACTTTCATTCTCTTTCTCTTACCAAAATATGTTGTGTCTGTCTCTAGTATTGATAATGACAACATTTGTTTCATAAACTTTTTTCTTCTTCTAGCAGATTTACCTTGCTGGTAATGTTTTTGCCAGTCAAATTCTTTGAAGCGTTAACTGTATGGGTTGCCTGTTAAATCCATCATACATTCATGTTCATGTGTCACCTGTCATTGTCTATTTTATGGGACTAAAGTGGCATGAATACTAGGGCAGTGACACTAAATTTTTGTTTTTGTTTAAGGAAGTTATCAGTTTGTTTTGGTATTTCATAACAGAAAAAACTGTACAGATATGTAGATGGATACTGCTAAGGAGCTCCTATAAGCCAGATGTAATCTGCTATAACTTACTCATAGATGCTTTTGGGCAAAAGCTTTTATACAAGGAGGCCGAATCCACATATCTGCAGCTTCTGGAGACTCGATGCATTCCCACTGAAGATACCTATGCCCTTCTTATAAAGGCTTATTGCTTGTCTGGGCTACTAGAAAAGGCAGAAGCAGTCTTTGCAGAAACGAGAAATTATGGTCTTCCTTCAAGTATGTTCCTGAATTACCTTGTTCATCCACACATGTTGTGACTTTGAGGACTAGGACAATGTAGGTAACCTTAGTATAAAACTGAAGACACTGCCAAATTACTCTGGTTCTAGTTTGTATTCAAAAAAGTGTCATTTCCTTGCTCTTTCCACGGATTCCTCAAGGGTCATCTTAGTTAGACATGCTGACTATATATTTTTCATTCTAGTAACCTTTTCAATTTTGTTTACTAGGAACCTTGGATAGTGAAAAGGTTTTTATGCCAACTTCTATGCAATGACATGGTGAATATTCAATTTTAGATTTCAAACACAAGGAAGAGATAAGATGTTAGGGGAAGTGAAAAACACATTTTATGTAACTTGTTTTCACCAACTTTGGTTTTCTTCGGCATTTATTGAGGCTATTCCAAACTTTACCCAATATTTTTTGCATGCAAAACTTTTATGTGCATCCATTTTTTATAACTGGAAATTTGATCCTTTAAAATAGCTAACCATATGAGAATAAATAATCCAGGTGCAGTTGTATACAATGCTTATATAAATGGGTTAATGAAAGGAGGAAATTCTCACAAAGTAGAAGAGATTTTCCAGAGAATGAAGAGGGATGCGTGCAAGCCAACCACTGAAACTTATACCATGTTGATAAATTTATATGGAAAGGTGAGCTTATGAAGATTCAATATTTTCTGACTGTAATTTTACTTTTGACATTTTCTGTAAGATCGGATCTGATGGGTTTCAAAATTAGGCAACAAATTCTGTGACTGTCCTCGACTAAACCAAATCTGTGTAATTGTTGATGACCTTCACAGCTACAAAGATGACACATTTTCAAGACATTTATGATATATAGACTTTTATGCATACATTCTAGTGTTTTCCTTACAGTGCAGTCATAACATAAAGTCTTAAATTTTAAAAATTATGCAGGCTGGTAAATCCTTTATGGCCTTAAAAATGTTTCATGAAATGACCAACCAAAAGTGCAAACCTAACATTTGCACATACACTGCTCTGGTGAATGCATTTGCGAGAGAAGGACTGTGCGAAAAAGCAGAAGAAGTGTTTGAGCAAATGCAAGAAGCAGGGCTTGAACCTGATGTATATACTTATAATGCCCTCATGGAAGCTTACAGGTTGTTAAGTAAGAGGCATAAATACCTCTTTGATTGTGATTTATTATCCGTTTAATCTGTTTTGCTCTATTTACTTCTCTTAGATAACCGTGAATCCATGATATTTTAGATGTTCTGCAGAAGAAACTTAATAAATGCAGTGAACTTACATGACAAATAGGCTTTATCAGGTTATTTTGGATAACTGATAAAAACCTTCACCTCTGAGGTTGAGTTAGAAGGTTTACTGCTGTAAATTTTTACAAAAGTTGTCTCTGTCGAATGTGTCAATTCCATTTTTTTAGTGTTCTCTGTTATTAATTGCAATGGTTTCATATCTAGGAAATATATCAAGAATTTCTTCTTCCAACAGTCGTGCAGGTTATCCTTATGGAGCTGCAGAAATTTTTTCACTAATGCAGCACATGGGATGTGAACCAGATAGAGCCTCGTATAATATATTGGTAGATGCATATGGTAGAGCGGGTTTTCAAGATGGTAATTACCTTCCCTTGGAAGTTATCATTATGTTTTGTTAATTCAAATGAAATAGCCTATCAGAAAATCTCATGAATTGATCCCAAAAGTTTGCATTACCTGTCTGTAAACAACGTTATTTCAGATATCCCCACCCCACCAAAAAAGTTTTCTTTTTTCAGCAGACATAAAAGAAAAAGTGAAAAATTTCTTGCAAATTCGGTGAAATTTATTCATTCTGGACTATCTACTTCAGAATCTTGATCTGGGTTTGTACATACGAGAGATACGCATGCACTGCAACCAGTATGCTGAAATTTTTGTCACGTATAGTCTTCAGATCTGTTTATCCGCTTTACTGGTCTGATACATTGTTTTTTCTCTGCACTTCCTTATGAATGAAACTCAGATGCTGAAGCTGTTTTTGAAGATATGAAAAGAGTGGGAATAACACCAACAATGAAATCTCATATGGTTCTTCTTTCTGCCTACTCTAAAATGGGCAGTGTGAACAAGTGTGAGGAGATTCTCAACCAAATGTCTAAATCTGGTCTGAAACTAGACACCTATGTTCTGAACAGCATGCTAAACCTGTACGGACGTTTAGGCCAATTTGCAAAAATGGAAGAAGTTCTGACAGTGATGGAAAAAGGATCATATGTAGCTGATATCAGTACCTATAATATCTTGATAAATAGGTATGGACAAGCAGGATTTATTGAGAGAATGGAAGAGTTTTTCCAGTTGCTACCTGGCAAAGGTTTAAAACCTGATGTGGTAACTTGGACTTCACGTATTGGAGCCTACTCCAAGAAAAAGCTTTACTTGAGATGCTTAGAAATATTTGAAGAAATGATTGATTCTGGTTGCTACCCAGATGGAGGAACGGCTAAGGTTCTTCTTGCAGCATGTTCCAACCAAGATCAGACAGAGCAGGTTACTACTGTGATTAGAACAATGCACAAAGATATGAACACTGAATTGCCAGTTTAACTTGTTTGATCTTTCAGCTGCTACTGTCAAGAAAGTGTTATACATACGATTTTTTTTTTAATAAAATGTTCAAAAGTACAGTTACTTTAATAAGATGAAAAATGATTAAATGAAGTAGCATAATGCTATTTTTTTTTTCTATCCTGCAATGTTCTATTGTCATATCTTAATTTAGTAACTAAAATTTAGCCTCTAATAATTGGTTAAACTTTTAGAAAAAATTTGCTTTTCTATCATAAAATTGATTCATTTTGAACGAGAATTTGCTTTTATTTATGAGTTATTCTTTTTTATCCATGAAATGAAATTGTGAAATGTTGTAGTTCTCTGATTAACTTTTAAATATTTCGTGAATTAAAATTAATTCTAAAGTTAAAATGAATATAATAACTACTTATATGAAGGGAATGTACAGTGTATTTTTATATCAATTAAATGTAATTATTAAGATTTTATTTTTTATGATTTATTACATACATGCAATTCTATTTTTTAAGTTTTCTTTACAATCTATAATACCCTCTATCTATTAAAGTGATCGTGTNATTTTTTTTTTAATAAAATGTTCAAAAGTACAGTTACTTTAATAAGATGAAAAATGATTAAATGAAGTAGCATAATGCTATTTTTTTTTTCTATCCTGCAATGTTCTATTGTCATATCTTAATTTAGTAACTAAAATTTAGCCTCTAATAATTGGTTAAACTTTTAGAAAAAATTTGCTTTTCTATCATAAAATTGATTCATTTTGAACGAGAATTTGCTTTTATTTATGAGTTATTCTTTTTTATCCATGAAATGAAATTGTGAAATGTTGTAGTTCTCTGATTAACTTTTAAATATTTCGTGAATTAAAATTAATTCTAAAGTTAAAATGAATATAATAACTACTTATATGAAGGGAATGTACAGTGTATTTTTATATCAATTAAATGTAATTATTAAGATTTTATTTTTTATGATTTATTACATACATGCAATTCTATTTTTTAAGTTTTCTTTACAATCTATAATACCCTCTATCTATTAAAGTGATCGTGTGTATGACATGTGTGAAAATAAAATTATACAATTTAAATTTCTAGTTTTTATTTATAATTTTTAATTAAAACTTTGTTTTTTTGTCTACAATCTTTAACTAACGATTATAAATAAAATGTTGAATTTTAAAAAATATTATACGAAGTTGCAAAATAATAAAATAAATATAACAAAATAATGCGTGCTCTTAATATATATTATGGCATGTGTATATTTCATGAATAAAATTTTAGTTTTACACCCAATAACATAAAGAAAAAACAATGCTTTATATCTGTGTAAATATTCGAGTTATTTATATTTTTTTTATATCATAAATCAAATACTTAACTTTAATTAAGTCAAAATAAAAAATTTCCTCACTAAACTAACGAAATTATACTTATTTTAATTCAATTAGCTTTAAAATATTACAAGAATATACAAATATCACACAATAATATATCTATAAATCAAAACATAATCAAACTATTACACCTCACAAAAAATCCGAAATCTACAGTAAAATATTGATTAAAAATGATTAAGAAGTATGTTTTTAAGCCTCGTTACGTCCCACAAAACTGGTTTATACACCTCACTTGTAAATTCGCCTCACTTGTAAATTCGCCTTAATTAACAAACCAAAGCTGGTGATTATATTTTACAATACCTCACCAAATAATGCCAAAGTAAACATAGATCAGTCAAAAGTGAGAAACTAAGCATATTATTCTGGCAAGCTGATCATAGATGGTAACAGCACTAACGATACATTAACAATAAATAAAAGCTGATAACTCTCACGATCTAACATCTTCCACACGGCTTTCGAAGCTTTTGAGTGGTATTATTATATACCCTTTTGAAGTTTGACTGATTTGAGCTCTTCAATAAGCTCTTTCAAATTGTTATGAGAAGTGCCACCACTCTGAATCGCTTTCTTTGCTTCATCACTCAACACTTTCACTCTCTTCCTCATTTCTACACACTCTTCTCCACCCATCACCAAAACAATTGCTTTTCGAATCTCCTCCCTCTTCACTGTTTCACTCCCAAAATCATTCAAGTTTCGCCATTCTTTTGCTCCAGCCGAAACTCCAATTTTCAACACATCCACCACCAACTTCTCATTGAAAAACTGCTCCGAAAATATAGGCCAAGCCACCAATGGCAATCCTGCAATCACACTTTCAAACACAGTGTTCATCCCACAGTGAGTCACCACTGCCCCAGTAGCAGGATGGTCTAGTATAGCAAGCTGTGGTGCCCAACCCCATATCAGATA